ATTTAACACCTCTGCCTTTTTGCTGCCACGCTTTGTTTTTTGACTAAGCACACGCAGCCTAGGTGACGTCTGTGGTCCCGTTTCACTCCGAAAAAAGTTTTCCAAATGTCAAGAATCGCGGCTGCCTCGGCGGTGACAGGTCGCTACACCTCAGCCAGATGAAAGCCGCGCCGCTCCCGGAGCGACTCCGCTCTCAGGCGTCCGACCCCCGACGATGCGACTAGCAAGTGGCCGGCTGCCCCTTCTTAATAAAATAAATCAGGCGGCCAGGCGTTACTGGGAGCCGGGCTCCGCCGATTAGGTCCAAAAAAGAAGCAAACGTTTAAAAGCCGACTTCCGCGGGGAAAAAAATAATAATTTTATACTTGTCGGCAGTGGAAGCCACCTAGCCGCCCGAATAAACTTTATTGGAACTGGATCTGGGTCTGGCAGCGCTGCGACTTGTCAGTCATATATCTTGTGTCTGTGGACAGTTTACGGCTCTTAAAATCGGAAGAAAGCGCTCGCATAAACATAACGGAGAGCCGAATTCAATAACAACCGCAAAAAAATGCTACCTTTAAAAAATCGCATCGGACTGCCGTAAGCCGGCGAGAGCGGAATATCAAAGATTGTGCGAAAGATCAGCGCAGAACGATAATCAATACTCGACCTAAATTTAACGCGAACTACTCAATAAAAGTTAAAGAAAAAAAAACTTACTTGCTTTCCCCGCGCAGTTTCCTCCTTTTCTTCTCCCGTTGTTTCAATAGATAAAGCAGGTCACATCCAATGATCGCGAAAGTTATTTTAAAAAATTAAAAAAAGAATAATCCTTCAACTTTATTGGAAAAAAAATAAAAAAAATACGAACAGTGAGAATAATGAAGCGGTCCTTCCGAGTCCGGCTGGCAAAGCATGTGTCGACCGCTGCCTCGCAGTTTAGGTTGTGGAGGGGTTGGAAAAAGGAGATGAAAATCCGATATGTCTTTATTCTGCTAATTATTATCGTTTTAGCCCTGTTTAAAAAAATGGCTGATTAAGTTGAGTGCGCATGTCTTTGTGTGCCTATTCCCGATATGCACTCTGGGAATGAGAGCGAGCGAGAGAGAGAGCGAGGTGTAATTAGTGAGGTGATCAACAGTCTCCACATTGCAAATGACGCGCTGTTTCAACTTAGAGAGCTGGAGGGCTACAAGGGCCAGATATACAAAAATGATCTAATAGGAGGGAAAAAAAATCTTTAAGGTATAGTGAGTGCGCGAATGTCATGCCAACACAATGAAAGACCCTCCAGTGACGCTGAGCATCTATGAATTACATAGAAATGATTTTTTAAGAAAGGAGAAGATTCAAATGAAAGGGAAGGGAAGGAGGGGAGGGGGTGGGGGGGTAGTTGGGGGGAAAGACACAGAAAATAAAAACTGTTGTGGTAGAGAGATCTGAGAAGAAGGGAAAAAAAACAGGACGCATTTCAGTCCAGAATGCTCTTTTGCTGATTTTATGCAACATGCTTAGAATGACCTGGGGAGAATGGCATCTGAGATCGAGTGAAACCGGCAGATAAACCCGTGCAGAACGTACAATCAGGCCGCTCCTGAATTGGACCAGGTAGAACCCAAATACATTTTATTTATGTGGTTAATATTTTGTGGGCCTACGCGCACTAGAAAATACATACATCCTTCAGGTTGCAAGAGGTGTGATGATGTCACTGAAATTAGATTAATCATTGAGTTGAAATAAACACGCAGAAAGTGCGTGCGTGTTATCCATCCTCCATTCCCGGTGCCTTTTTAATATCCAAGACCTCAATCTGCCGCATGCACGACATAATTTGTCCAGCAAATGCGGATCCTTTAAATCGTACATCCTTGATTAAACAGTAATTTAAAATACGCAAAGAAACTGCACTTTCACACAGTATAATAGGGCTGAAAACAACATGATTGTGCAGAGAAAGGGCAGAATATATTTGACCTCGAGAACTTTTAGATCAAAACAGCCACAAACAGGAATATAAGCGCATATTAAATTGGATTTAAGTGTATTTAAATACACAAACCTTCAGAAATGTATGGCTCTGTTTACACTGTAAATCACAGAAACATCACAAAGATTAGTATGTATGCGTGTGTGGCTTTCAAATTAAAAAATGACTTACAAAAATGGCTTAACAGAAATCGACTCGAACACAAACTAATGGTAACGGAGACTGTGTAGCAGAAGTGTTATATTTATATTTTTTTCTGTAAATATCTAAAATATCTCCACTGATCAATCATTTGACGCGTAATGAACACATTAAACTGATGGGGTTTTCAGGCTTTAAAATTTGGCGATAATATGAAATTACGACGCGTAAATAAAGACAGAATAACAACGTGCAGGAACCTCAAACCAATGAGTTTCATGTAGACCTATATACAGTACGTGTGTATGCAAATACGAGGGCTCTGTAGATTCGTGAATTTCATGTGCAAAATTATGAACATATATGGCTCATTATACGTACATGTATTACTAAATGCATATCTTGTCAACAAATAAAACATGCCAAATGTACAACTGACAATTCCCCGTGTTCGTGTACATGTGTTTTGAACAGAATATCATATTATATAAACACACACACACACAAAATACAGCACTCCAATGATGGAGTGTCTTCCCATTTCAGGTAGCATTTCCCTGGGCTTTTTTACTTCCTCTCTGACCGTTTATTTTGTCTTTCTGTTCTAATAGTCGCTATCGGAAAGAAAACCTGCAGGATGTTAATCGTTGGGAAAAATCAAGAGATCGCCTGTCCTTTATGAAAAAATCGAAGGAGGTGAATTGAGTGAGCTGGGTTTCAGGATCTAATGATAAGGCAAGCGGGCAGCGGGGCTGCGGCCGCAGTAGCAGCGAATCCCTCTTCCTATAGTCACTCCTTGGATTGTTGTGTCTGGGGCTCTATTTGGTCTTCGGCTCGGCGAAAGGTGGTCGGCAGAAGCCCCCTTTTTTTTTTACGGCATTTCACCCGGCTCCCTGACTGCTACCCCTCCGGGGAAACCGAGCGGCCAGCACCGAGGGAGACGCGCCGACAGAAACCGGAGCTCACAAGGAGGATATTGTGATGTTATCTTCTAAGAAAAAAAGAGACGAGCCGCTCTACCAGATCACTTTTACAGTCTCGATTCTTGTAGATTTATTTCCTCGGCATCGGTGATTGGCGGCACTTTAACGCAAATAAGTGTGTTGCGTGTGTGTAAGTGTGAATGTGTAAGGCGTTTTGCACTTTAACTTCGTAAACAGTGAATGGGGCTATTCTACCCCCTTTTTGTCAGAGACGTATTTTATTAACAAGATTAGTGCTGCATGAAGGACTGTAAAAAAGTAATGAATTTTTCAGCTTTCCCCAGTGCAAGGATGTGCTCCTAAGCGGAGCACAATTAGCTCACAAAAAGACGACCGTTGTAATTGTGCTTTGACATTACTTAAGTTTATTTTTTGATCACGACGAAGGCGAAAGTGAGCGGAGCTTTTTGCAGGGTTGAGTCTACTCCTGATCTGCGATACAGTCACGCCGGACACCCCACTGTCCCTCCCTCCTGCTCTGTTCCTGAGGCTCTTTCACAAAGGCTGTGTGTTAACTAACAGTTTTTTTTTACTTCCATGCCCCGCGCTCAGAAATAATGATAAAGATCGGAAATATAGACGCTCTACTATTAAGCCTGAAACTGTTAAAAAGTTTTTTTTTAATAAAAATTAGTGGAGGCGTCCTAAGATGCTTCTTTCAATGTGAACAAAGTTAACATGAACGAAATAAAACACTTGTTCGCTGTACAGAACTACTGCTCGGAATAATTACGTGTCTCATAACCGAAACTGAGATAACGAACAAGCAGTGTTTAACAGCATTTCTGACAGAATTTCTGCTGAATGGGCTTTGCTTTTTTCTTAAACCAACATGTTTTATTTGGTTTTCTCATTTAAATAATTCGACTAAACATTGTTACATCCTCGTTGTTGTTGTTGTTATTATTATTATTATTATTATTATTATTATTATTATTATTATTATTACAGAAAACAGCGGCAGATCACACGTTCAGTTGTTGCGCTTTTGCTCAATATTTCCAATATTTCTGTATTCTTGTTAATGTTAGTTACATTGTTTCCGTCTGTGGTCCGCTTGTCCTTTCTGACAATATCTAGAAGGAGGAGAAGTTCTTCTCCTGTTTAAAGGGAAAGGTTCGGCGAACACGCGTGGCGCCCTCTGGGGTTTAAGGGGTCACGGTTTGGACAGAACCAGACCCGCCTCCACTATGAAAATCGAACCTAAAGTTCCTAGACAAAAGCACTGAGTACAGTCCTCTTAGGCAACAAACAAAAGTTACAAACCAGCAATACACACAAACTCTGTTGGTCCCTGAGACTTCGTACAGAGCGATACAAACAGCCTTTTAGCAGCCTCGCGGACAGATCATACAAGCCAACTAGTGCAAAACACATTTTAGACCCACTTAGAGGTTAAAAAGAAATAAGAAAAGAAATCGCCCAAAACTGCAAAAACCCGAGCTCTCCAGAAAAAGGTGGATGAGCCAGTGTTGTCTGTAGTTATCTGAAGAAAACCAGATGTTTTTGTTTAAATTACAATTTATCCGAAATTTCTGCAAAACTGCTTTGATAGGCAATACGTTCCTTACAGCTCCTCCGTTTCAACAAGGGGAGAACAATAGGAACACATTTTAAATACGTTCACTGACATCAAAACAATCAACATAGAAATACTCTCATATCCTTTACATATCTCAGCATTAACAAATAAACAGCTTCTAGAAACAATCTGTTAAAAATCCGCTGGAAAACAAACCATTTCATGAAATCGGAAGACCTTCATGATCCCTTTCTGAACTTTTTAACAACAAAAAGAAATCAAAAATAAAAATCCATAAACTGGAAATGACTTAAAATGCATTAAATTAATCAACCAATCCATAAAACAAGCGAAATCTCAGCGAAAGTGCAGTAACATGTACCTTGAGCATAAAAGAGCATCTCGTTTTCTTCTTTCTCTCTGAAGCTCCGCTTAAAGCATATGGAAAATGTTTTCAAAATGCTTAGATTTGGCACATTGTCATTGGGAAGAGAGGAGCGCAGTGATGCTGCTACAGAAAATGGGAAATAAGTTCAGGATTGGGTGCTGCCTCACTCAATGCGGACTTATCTAACTTTAATTTAATATTCTGCAATCACTCTGTGATCGCATATAATTCACAGAGATTTTTACAATGACTAAATGCTAGATTTTTTCCTCGGGTATTTATTCCTTACAACACAATTGTCCCGCACAGTTTCTTAAGGTTTATTTTACTTTAACGTGCCTGCACAATTAGAGGAGCAGGAAATTATAATTTGCTTTGACACGAGTCTATCTAAATATGGTGAAAGCTTAATAATAAAACCATTTGCAGAGTAAAAGCGAGATATAGAAACTGCTGTTTGTAGAACACCAAGCCTTAATCGATGTATTGGGGACATTCTGATCGATTAGATAAACGAAAATCTATACAGAACAAGAGACCAGTTTTCACATTTCCTTTTTGTTTCTTAATAAAACTCACAATAACAAAGGAGGTTGCAGACAGAAAAAATCTAGATAGCTATCAAATTACAAATACAAAAAATTATTTCCAGATGTGGAATGATAGTAACTACACTGATGACAGTAATTATAAAAGGATATAATAAAAAAGCCACATATTTTTATGAAGACACAAAGAACTATTTTCAAGCTTTTGTTACAATAATTTTATTTTTTTTTCGAAATGACCCAGAGGAGCAACGATTAATTAAAACCTTTTTTCCATTCATTAAGTCAACTCCTGATAAACTCGCCCCTGCGTTTTGGGTAGAGCTGTCAAATCAAAAATGTAAATCCCGTGCATAAGGTTGGTTTTAATTGATGATATGTGACTTGTTTGGGGAGGGGGGTGCAGATTTGGAAAGAAACGGATGGAGTACTAGTCAAATAAATTTACATGGGATCACAGCTGCCGGCGTGGTGGGAGACGCGGTGCTACCGGCAGAGACGTTCTGTTTATTTGATCAAGAAAATCAATGAAGGCGACTGTAAAGTATTTAGCGGGGCGTGTGTGTGGGAGCGGGCTTTTGAAAAAGTGACTTCCACAGACGAGTCGATCGCGTCAGGAAACCCACCCTGAGCTCTGCGCTCAGCCCCCGGCCCGGCCGGCACCACCCCTCCCTCCTCTCGCTGCCCCAGCTCGGAGACTCCTTCCCACTTGCCCTCTCGCTCCTCTCCCCGCTGACCCCTCCGGAGTCGGGCCCGGGTTAAGGAATGCTGGATGGTTCGCTCTCTGTTTGCGTTGTTCCCCCGGGTTCGGCCCCAACCGGAGATGTTTTGATTTCATTTGCAGTTTTCAATAATTTCAGAATACACCACCTCCTCGCCCTTCCCGACCCGTAGAACTCACCCCCTACAAACTCGTAATTAAATTTCTGCACCTGTATTCATCGGAATGTGACAACTTCAAACGGCAAATAAAGGCCCTAATTGCAGATAAATGTAGGGACTTGAAAGGGCGATTCGTTTTATGCGGGAACATTTTTTTTTTTTAATTCCATGTCGCTTTTCCTTAACAACTGGGCATTTTTTTGTTTTGCTGTATTTTATGGACAGTAATCGTTCGGGGGTTTTCACAGAGCTTAAAAACGAACCCCATCACATCCACACGTGGACGTTTTTAGAAAAATAAATTGCAATGAAATGCAAATGAATTTTCAAACATAGTGTAGTTTGGCTAGGTTGTAATTTACATGTTATTATTATTATTATTATTATTATTATTATTATTATTATTATTATTGAGGGTTAATTAAAGAATTCGATAGAGAAACAGTGCGAACTTTGAACGTCATATAAACTCCGGTGATCAATGACTCGCTAATTGAGTGGCCCCTGGCAGCTTCAGTAACCCTTTTATTTAAGTCTCGCCCACTTTTATCTCTTGGGGTTACACGGTATCCCTCTCCTACCACTCAATGGTCCACCCCCCACTTTGGAAATAACCCTGTTTCAATTGGGCAGCATCGCAAAGGCTAGGAGTCAGTTCCCTGGCAACCGGACAGAGGCGTCGGATCAACCCCACAGGACGAAATCAAAGACAACCAACTTCAGGAAATCAAGCGATGCCACTGGTAAAGGTTTAGTGTGCACTCATTAATCAATACGGGGACTCTCGAAGCGTGTCGTTTAATTTTTGTGACTGTTCTGTAAAGAAAAGCAAAATGTACTGTAATGTTGTCAGCGCCGTGTCTCATTTCAAAATACTGTGACGCCTTTCGGTATCAACTTTTGTGCTGTGCAAACAGACCGGCCAACGACAGATTGATAGATTTTCTTTTTCCTCTCAAATCAAACGGATGCTTCTGCATATTCTATATATCTGTACATTACATACGTCTTTTTTTCTTTCTCTGGTAAAATATATATTTTTTAAAAAGTTGAATTCTGTAAGCGTTCTTGTTTTAGACAATGGAGGTGATTAAAAAAAGCACATTTTTACCAACTAAAGGTAGAACACGATTTTTAACAGTATTGTCAACCATTCTCGTGGATGTTATTAAATCTGTTTCTTTGGATTCTTATGTTTTTATGGTAGTGTAGAGTACTTGTTTGTCTCGTTATGTTTGAACAGCGGGCGGTTGGGTGACAACGGAGTGCTTTACTTTGTGTTAAGTTTACCTGCAAATGCATAAAGCGTAGAAAAAGATTGGAAACGACTGGATTTTTTAAAGGTTTTCTTTATTCCCCGTTAAGAAACACTTTGCGTGTAGTAATGTATGTGATGATAGGATCTTTAAACATGTGGGATTTCGTTAAATTCCAGAAAGGAGAAATAACATTATTGTTGGAGAGGAAATCCGAGGTCATTTACTTTTCTGTGACACATACAACCTGCTCATCACTGAAACCCTGAAATCTGCCAAAGTTTTCTTAAAAGGCTTAATTTATACAGACAATCACACGGAGAAAGTTCCATTTAGTGAAACACATCTGGACCACAGGATTTCTCAAAATGCCCTTCAAATAGTGTCCTGTAATTACCCGTTCAGAGTTTTAACCTTTTACGTATTTAAATAAATGTGTTATATCTTGTACGTTTTACTGTGTATACACTTCCCTAATAATTGATTAGAAAATAAAATAGCAGTTAGTAACAATTTGTGACAGACTGAGACACACGTGAATATAAAAATATTATATTCATAGACAATGTTTTGTTGTTAGGTACGTGCGGTGTAACACCTGATGCCACAGTGTTACATTTGAAAACTGTTTTCAACAGCATTATATTTTGCTATGTAAGCAATTAATTGGTAAATGTCCAGAACAGACCACACCACTTCCTGTAAACTGGGGTGTGTATAACACATTTTAAATGTTGTTGTGTGCCAGTGTGGGAGAACATTTAATTAAATGTATTTTCTCCAGAGCAATGTCTGAAATTATTACATTTAAGAATCAAAGACATGATCTTTTCTGAGAGAAATGCCTAATTTTGGAAGACTGCAGTGAAACATTTCCATATTGAAATGGAAAGGCACCTGTAACACATAGAGATCACAATAATTGTTGAAGGCACTGGATCAGAAGAAGATAAAACTCTCAGGAGTACAATTGTTTTGATTTACCTTCAATTAATTATCTACACATATACGATTAGTGTTAATTGCAAGGAGAAATAAATGTATTCCAGGCCAAACATTTGTAGAGAAGGAATAAAAAAATCTAACCATGCAAAAAGAGCATTATTTTTCATTTTAATTTGACAAATTAAATCGCACCTCCACATGTTACTAGTGTCTTTCAAATAGTTCTGCTTTGAATAGTGTAACACACAGTCTCTCACAAGTGACCTGCAACAGAAGCTGCTGTGGTACAGATGTACCTTGATATAAATATGGATAATTATGTGAGTGTATGTTATGTATCTGTATGCATATATAAATTTCATACGCAGTTTTCTTTGCCGGTATGTTTAATACAGCTTTGTGATTATAGGCCAGAAAAATCTCAGGCTTCCTTTCCATACTGAAAATGCACCCTTGGGCCAAATAGCAGAGAAAACGCCCTCCGTGTATTTTTTTAAAGCTGCAATCCATTTACACAATATCTGAGCAGTGATTCCAATGCTGGAGAAAATGGCCCCTTAAAAAATGAATTGAAACCCCCTCGGACAGCACTTAGGGTTTGGAAGGGGTTCCCACATTGCCTGTGTGTAAATTCTTACGCATGAGGCAAAGGCATTCTGCACAGGTGGTTTTCCTGAAGGTTTTAAAGAGGTTTTCTGCTTTTCTGTGTGATGCATTTCCTTATGCGTTTGTAATATATCAAATATATTTCATTTCATATAAACAGTGCATTTAAATGTGTGCATCTGATTGGATTGCTACTACTGCTACTGCGATAACAATTACAAATTATTACCGTTTATTCTAATAATTCAAGTTAATTAAATTCAAATGTAATGCTCAGCTATAGGCAGCCTGTTAATACCATACAGTTAACAAGGACAAATCTGGATATGAATGGTCTTATTTATCAAAGCAAAAACTAATAAGTCTGAATTAATGTCAATTTCAGCCAATATTATCTTTCTCCTTCTTTATCTGTATATACCTACTGTAACAATTATTCATCAGTAGAAACTATTTCCAATTAAAGACTGTATGAAATGAAACATTGATGCTAAATATTAAACTGAAAAATGCAGCCACTCTCATTAAAACATGACCTAATGACAAAGGAAGACATGGTAGCATGGGGTCTGCTGGGTTATTGCATTCATTCTGATTAGTGTATCATATAAAGTAGTATATCAGTTTCAATAGATACAATTATAAGTAACAATACCAGAATATGATCATGCATATTCTTTGAAATGAGCAAATATGCATTTTTAAATTGTAGCCCAGAAAATGATATTATTTCATTCTATTTATTTTTTATGTTTTTAATCTGAGCAGTTTAAAATTTATTCGACAAATATTTTAAATTTTCAGGAATAAAAACACCAGTGTATTATTGTCACTAACAATGCAGTTATTATTATTATATGTTTCATACAGTTTTTAGTTCCGAATTCATAGTGCTTTGTTTGCCTTCTGAGTAGGACTTAAAGAGAAGCCCAGATATTGTGCGTTTCGGTCTTTCCACTGCGAATCCAGAAAGTGTAAAGATGCACCTGTGCAAAAGGGCTCTGCAGTCTTCTCACCTGAATGGTGTTTCAACTCAAACCAAGTAAGAGATGCACCTAGAGAGGGCCATTTCACCAACTCTAATAGGAAGACAGATAATAACCCTTTTTATCCTCATGGACTATCAATCATGGCTGTCACCAGTCTGCTGAATCAAAGCAAAAGTGTTCTTCACAGATGACTGATTAGAAACGCAAAATCACAAGATCCATCTTCATGGTCACTTTTATTATAGTGATTTTTAAACTGACGGCAACCTGCTCTGTCTCAGCACACTGGGCATCACACAGTATATTGTCTTTCACTGTATGAGGTAGTTTTGCACAGAAAGATGCTGCAGGATTTATCACAAAACTGTCTTCTGGCTAAAGGCTGATTTCTCCATCCCTTTTAAGGCAGTAGATTAATTTTTTCAAAACATAATTCTGTACGTGTGCTGTTTGTACTGTGCTGTAGATTTGTCTATAGGTACCTGCAGTGAGTCTGTCTAAATACAAACGACTATCTAGATTTATGCATCTGAATGTACGTAAGTGACACTAGTAAATCCATATGTACAGGTATTTTGTCTTTATACATTAACCATTAGGCTGTAATAAGAGTACATTCATGAATAATCTCTGATGTGTACAATATAATGAGTTTTGGTTTTATGAAACAAAGTACTTGAAGGCAAGCACCTTTAAAGTCTGGAAGAGGTCCTCTTGTTCACTCATGAGATATTATGTGTTGTTAATATTAGGATAAAATATAATACATCGTGGGGGGAAAAAAAACAAAGTAAAAAATTAAGGGTATTAAGCATAAAACACTCAGAATTAGACTTGACCACTTACATACCTGATTTCCGACCAGCCTTCCCCTAATTTCAAGAATAGCCTTCAGACCAAGCTCTGAATCAAATAATCAACATGTAATCAGACTGGATGGCAGCAGACCTGTTTTCCATATCAAATGGATAGCTTTTAAGGCACTTTTCTATGTCTCTCTGGGAACATTGATATGCTAATACTAATTGACATCAATCTAAAAATCAGTTAAGGTTACATGTGTCTAAAATTAAATTTATATGCATCAGACAAAAACTGGGTCACACAAAACAAGCAAACATTGTATTATACAGATGCCCGGAGAACAGACAGACTGCCATTTCTTAATAAGTTCAGAATCGTTTTAGTGCATAGCTTGTCGAAATATTAATGCTCTGCTTCAAAGGCTTTAAAGTCATCCTTGGTGCAGATTATTAAACCAGACAAAGGACTTTTTTTAGCCTTTTCACGTAAAGGTGCAGCTCACCAAAATGGAGGCACATGACATTGTTGTTTCTATTGGTAACAGCTACAGGAAGATTTTGGATTACCATGCATTTATTCAGCAATGAAAGCACACATAGTAGATGTAAATCTGAGAAATTGTGCTTATCAAACATTCATAGAATATGAGCTCTAGTTTATGGG